AAAACTTATTGTACATCAGACATTTGCACATGATGGAGTCTCTTGCCCATACTGTGCAATGAACCTATGAAGAATTTCTGCTGCCTTCACTCTCTCTTTCACTAGGAATTTGAGGATATATCAGTGTTTTGCAATGGGCATGACAAGGTCTAACACCATCTTTTACCGGCTCTAATGCACAGAAGCAGGGAACATGGCCACCTGCCAGACCTTGAGTGCAGTGTTGCCACCAACTGCCCATGAAAGAGTTTTATTTGTATGATTCCAACATCATGAGGGGAAAATAAATTCAGGTTAACCTTGAACCACCCTTGTATGTTTAATTGAAATCTATTGCAAAGTCCATAAAGGTAAACATTTGTCTGATATATATCTTATTCATAATGGTGTGAAACAGAGAGATGCTTTATTGCCATTGCTTTTTATCCTTACTTTAGGATATGTCATTATGAAGCTGCAAGAAAATTGGGTGGGACTGAAATTAATTGGGACACATCAAGTGCTGGATTATGCTGATAATGTTACTCTTGGGAGATAACATAGATACCTAAGAGAAAAACACAAAAATTTACTTGATGCTACTAAGGAGGTTGGTCTAGAAGTAAACACAGAGCAAACTAAGTATGTGTTGATGCATCATCAGGATGCTGGAGAAAATCATAACATACAGATGGCTAATCGGTCCTTTGAAAATGTGAAGTTCACGTATTTGGGAATAACAGTTAAGGTAAAGAGGTAAAGCTGTCCCTGTAACAGGCCATGGAGGCTCATAGGGTTGTGAGATGTTGAGGCTGCAACACTTTCTAGACAATTGGCTGACAGATGGCAGTCAGGTAGTCAGCCTTACATGACAAGTCACTTTTAGCCCCAGGGAAGATTTCTAGTACTCATTTTTGTTAGAGGCAGAGTTGACTCCAGGGCTCTACTGCAACTGGAAGGAATAGGTCAATTGAAAAATCCAATGATCTCATTGGGAATCAAACCGACCTTCTGGCTTGTAGATAGTGCCTCAACCAACTACACTACCATGAGCCCCTAGGGAATAACAGTAACAAATCAGAATTTGCCCCTTGAGAAATTAGAGCAGAATAAGTTCAGGTAATTCCTGCAACCATTCAGGTCAGAACCATCTGTCTTCTCATTTGCTGTCTAGAAATGCAAAGACTTAAATACACAAAAGCATAACTTTGTCTGTAGTTTTGCATGGGTATAAAACTTTGTCTCTCATATTAAGGGTGTTTGAAACAGGATGCTGAGAAGAATATTTGACCGAAGAGGATGAAATAATAGAGATTGGAAAAAAAAAACTGCATAATAATACTTATATGTAGGTGAGACAAATGAAAACTGTAAAACTGAGATAAAAATTCGAAATATGGCGCCATTGTCCTATAAATTGGCAGACATGTTACCAATGCTATAAAGAGTATCCTATAGATGGCAGTATAATGCAGACAAACAGAACTCCATCACAGTGCTGGTTTGAACTTCAAGATGGCTATTCCACTAAGACATACACGAAAGAAGAAGTTCTGTAATTCGTTTTTTGTTCAGTGAAGGTGTGAAATCGATTGAAGTTCATCAACAGATGAAGGTTCAGTATGGTGATGCATGCTTGTGACAGCAGCAAGTGTACAAGTGGAGTAGGAAATGCAGAAATGGTGTGACGTCCATGGCAGACACTCCTTGCCTGGATCAGGCGCACAGAGTTGTGACCCCTGAGTCTATTGCAGCAGTTGAAGCCCTACTGATGGAGAATCACTGAGTGTCGGTGGATGAAATAGCCGAAATTCTTAACACGAGTCACAGATCAGCACACCATGTCATTCATGTTATGCTCCAGTTTCACAAAGTGTCTGCAAGGTGGGTGACATGGCAGCTAACTCCAGAATTGAAACAATGTGTTGACGCCTTGAAGAAGAAGGTTGTGGCTTCCTTTCGAGAATCGTTACTGGCGATGAAACTTGGGTGCACTGCCACTAGCCGAAAACAAAGAGAACGAGCAAGGAATGACATCATTCCTCATCACCAAAACCCAAGAAGTTCTGGATGCAGCCATCTGCAGGGAAGATTATTGCAGCCATCTGCAGGGAAGATTATGCTGACTCCCTTTTGGGATGAATGAGGTGTACTCTTGGAACAGTACACGCCTCAGGGAAACACTATCACCAGTGCCTCATATTCAGACCTCTTGAAGAATCATCTTCAACCTGCAGTCAGACCAAAGTGACGTGGACTTTTGATTAGAGGTGTCCTTTTGCAACATGACAGTGCTTGGCCCCATACTGCCCATGCAGCAACTGCGACAATCCAAGACTTGCATTTTCAGTGTCTTCCACATCCGCCATACTCAGCAGACCACATGTGATTACCACATGTTTGGGCCACTCAAAGAGGCAATGGGAGGAAAGCAGTTCTGTTCTGATGAAGAGGTACGCCACGCGGTGCATGAGTGGTTGTGCAGACACCCACAAGAATTTTTTTTCTATAGGAATCCATACACTTTGTAAACGCTGGGGGGCCTGTATTGAACGAAATGGAGACTATATAGAAAAAATTATATAGTCATGTACTGCTTTCATTCAATAAATTAAATTTTAAAAATTTTTTTACAGTTTTCATTTGACTCACCCACATACTTGTCACCAGATCTAATTAGAATGATAAGATCAAGGAGTATGAGATGGACACATGCCCTATATGTCACACATGAGAAGGAGGAGGAGTGCACACAGGGTTTTGGTAGGAAAACCTCATGAAAGGGGACTACTAGGAATGACCTAGAGACAGATGGGAGTCTAGTATTAAAGTGGATCATAGAGAAATTGGATCAATAGGTGTGAACTGGATTCACTTACTTTAGGACCAGTGGTGGGATCTTGTGATGACAGTAATTAACCTTTTTGGCAACTGTGAGCAACTGTTGCCTTCTCAAGAAATACTCAGCGGTATGGAGTTTGTTATTAGCTTGTTGGCTGTGCTGGAGTTCCAAACGTGCAGAAGGAGTTGACATAATTTTTCTTTCTTCCACTGGACTTGCTGAACAATTTCCAGCAGAGTCTCAGTAACTTCCCTGATAGCAGGCAGTTGTATCTTTGAATTTGGACACTTCTGTTTTATATTTGCCAAGTGATGATTCATTACTGATGTTTCCCCAATAGATGACACACAATGTTTGTCCATTTGGTTATTATATTTGACTGTTCATTGCTGATATTATTTGATATGGAATAAGACAGGATGTACACAAATCATGCAACAGGGTCATGGCAGCAAGATATCCCAGCTTGTTTTTATTATTAATGCATTATCCTGGAGGCACTGGAGAAAACTGTAGGAAATCTAAGGATATCTGATCTCAGGATGAGCTTCAAAGTGGTTACCACTGAACTATATACAGATTTTCTGTTCAGAAGTTTTGAACCATTATTAGTCATGTATTGCCATGTGGTGACATGAAAGGCTTGTAATTTTCAGGTAGCATGTAGATTTTGTGATAGTTTTGGTCACGTGCAGAGCTCACATCATGAACATTGATATATATAAAGTCACATGTTTGTCCATCCATTCATCAACTTGTCATCTCAGCTTTCTATATCACATCTGTGTGGAGTTGTATGGAAGTCATTTAAGATATAAACTTGGCTCAGTTAAGAATATTATCTTCTGGGTTGTGATGCTGTTTAGTCCCGTGAAAGTTTGCCAGTGTTTCAGAGGAACATGTTGCCTCCTTTCTTCGGGGTCAAGAAGTAAGCCAAGCTTGCTTGGCTTGTTCTTCAACCCTGAAGATGGAGCCTTTTGTCATACTGAAACATTCGTGAACTTTAACGTTCTATGTGGAATCAGATCCCAGAAGACATTGCTGTTCATAATTACTGATGTGAGAACCTCAAATCAAAGACAATCAGTTAGTCCACAAAAAATTGAAGTCCTTGAACAGTAATGGGTTTGAGTCCCTGAGCAGTTTTCTAATTTACATTTCCTAAATATAAAACTGGAAAAAACAAATGTCAAATAGAATAAATATATACTATTTAATTTTACATTAAGTTACAGGTTCTCAAAAATAATACAAAGGATATGTACATTTGTTTTCTGTAAAACCCAACCTCATAGCACCCANAGAAAAACATACTAATAACAAATATAATTTTGATGAACTCATCAGGTATTGAGTTAAATTATTTTCAATCGCTGGCTTGCAGTTCAGGCACTGTGGTATGCTGTATAATAAGTATTTTTATTACTAAATAATTATGTATTTATATTCTAAATAATTAAGTCTTTCCCAGACAGGTGTACAGATTGCAGTGTGTATGCAACTCAAAAAATGAAAAAAAAAAATCAGTGGTGCCATTCTCAGCCAAGATCCAGGACTTAGTGTCTTTAACAGTCAAACAGTCTAATTTTGTCATTGCTGTGAAAACCTCAAATCCAGTGAAAATATTAACTGTACAGTTTTATTGTCATATGGAATATTAAGCAATATATTCATGAATATTGCTTGGATAATGTATTCATTTTCCAAGCCCCGTATGTGCAGAGAACTTAAAATGAGGTATAACAGTTATATTTCATGAACAAATATGCATATAGAAATGTATTTTTTGGGGCTATGGCAACAGGTATAAAATTAAGAAAACTTTCCATTGAGGAGAATCCTGTCGCGTTTCCTATGTATGAAAGCATATATGAAGGAATCACCATGAATGAGAGTTCGAAAGGAAGCTGGGTAATGTAGGGTCATTAAGGTTTGAGATTCCATGGCGCTGAATATTAATGGTCTTTCACGATGTGATGCCATGTGGTCTGGTAAAGGGGCACCAATATTTTAGAAAAACCTGCTGCCTCCATCTTCAGAGTTGGAGGCCACAGATTCCTGTGAAATGTTGCTACTTATCTTCTGAAGACCATGATGTCTATGTACATTCTGTTTTGTTATGTGACAGTTGTATTACAGTGTTCAGTATTTGCAACTCACATGTTTGTGGATACTACAGGTAGATGAAGAGCAAGTGGTGATGGCCCATTCACCCCTGAGAATGTTTCAGCAGTATCATAATAAATGTGTACTGATATCAGGCCAAGGTCCTATTGTTGAAATAGCTAAGAACATTGGCTTTAAAAAGATTATAACGATTGACCAAATGAGAAATACGTTCCCAGTGCTGGATGCAGTGGATCATAAACGAAGGATATCAGTGGTGAGTCCATTGTAGTTAAGGAAGTAATTAAATGTTTGTAGGTTATGATATAATCTCACATAACATTGATATGGTCATCTATTAAAAAACATCAGAAAATCGATGATGTGTGTGTGACTTAAATGTTTTCGCATGAACATTTATGTGTATGTCTGCCATACTGCCTGCAAAAGGGTTTAAATTAAATGTTATGTGGAATTTTGTAGCACAAGCCATTCAAGCACCAACCCTCTCAATCCACGGTCATTTCCTAGTAAGGCATTTAATGCTTTTGGGAAGGCAAGGATTTATCTCAGGGGATGTTGCATGTGGAACCCAAGTGTAGGTAGGTCCAGGTCCAAGTGTAGGTCCAGGGATTGCACAGATCAGGGCAATTTGAATTGAAGCAGCTGCTGACAGTTTGGTTCTTAATTGATGGACAAGTGATCATCAGTTCACGGGTATGATGAATAATGATGTCACTTATGCAATTAGAACACTGCAAAGTTCACTTTATAACTGCAGTAGCTTATCACACAGGTTTAACTATGACAAAATACAAGTGTTAGTGGTACAGGTCACAGAAGTACAATTGTGAGTTATAGAACTTATGGAAGTAGAAGTAGCAGTCAAAGTGCAATTAACAGTCACAAGTACATATGGAAGAAGTTGTAGTGGGAGAAGAACCAGAAGTAGAAGTCACAGAAGAAGAACTAGAACTAGTATCAGAAGAAGTGATGGAACTGAAACTGGCCTCATCACGAACATCACCGATTTAAATAAACTTGGTAGGTGGGACTTGGAAATTGCAAGTTGTGATCTTTATTCCCAACAGAGCAGACAAAATACATTGTAAAATGAGGCACCGGCCAAACAATTAATGTCAGATAATACTGCATCTATACCACGGGCCTCCAATCAGTTTAATATATGTATACAAGTCTTGAATATACCATTGTGTCCGCTGGAATATAACAAGTTTGCAACAACTGACTTCATGATATGCACTATAATATGAAGAGCTTTTAAACCACATTTCATTCCATAATTTTCGTTTTTTAATAAGTCTATAATTCATTGCATTTTTATACCTTGTATTTTGCAATTTTTACCAAGTATCTAGCTTTACTATCACAATGAAATTGCAGTTCAGTAGTGTATGAATATAGTAATCATGTGTTTTACCTGATGATGGCTTCAAAAGCCAAAACATGTAGCTAAGATAATATTAACCTTGACCGTTTTGTTGTTGTGTTACGACGGATTCCAATAAAGAATTGTATCCTGATATTCTTTATCCGCTTTATGCACATGTGACATAAATGGCAGTTGGTCAGATCATTCCTAAGGGCCAGAGGGGCCAGGATCCTGAAGCATTTAATGTTTATAAGTATTAAAAGTGTTAGCTTCATGAATTTGTGTTTTGTTCGAGTTTAGTATGGCTTGGACTGGAATAAGATCGTGAAGGACTTTGCCTCACAAGCCTTTGCCTTAGCTCTCTTTTCTATAGACGTTTCTTCCACTTGTTTGTGGCACTCAGTAGTTGTTGTGCTTTCCCATCTCAAGTCTGTTCTCCTTGCAGAAGGACCATTGGGTGCTGGTCCTCATGTATGTTTCTGAATTTATTTGTGTCTTCCCACTTTTACAAATCTCTGATTTCTTTATCTTACTGCAGGTATTGAAAGTTTCTGTTCCACAACTTCAGAAGAGCACATGTTAACATCTTAAGATTTCTTGCTTACTAAAATATGTGTATGGCTAAATAAGACTATGCGTGTATGTATGTGTTCCTGAGTGCAGGAGTTTACACTAATTTCAAAGGCAATATTATAGAAGTATGAAATAATATAATTTTAGTGCTTGTAAGGAACAACGATCATACATGAAGGAAACTGGATGAGGAAGTGTCAAACTGAATATAAAGGCAATGTAGAAGTGATTTGAGCATTACATGATTATGAAGTAGCACAAAGAAAATATATAAGTTGTGAATAAATCAATTCACTAATCCATACTCTGTCTCTAGTCGCCCCTAATAAGTTACAATATGAACATTTAAATAATATCACTTATTTTCCCCACTTTCCTTAGTTATATGCATGGGAAGGAGGGAAATTTTATTCTACCTTGGCTCTGCCTATTCAGGCAGTCAAGAGTCTCCATTGATGGATGCCATTCATCAAACTCAATTTGAAATCTGAACTTGAATTTATGCCAAATAACTCTTCCTATATCAGGCTGTAATGTGAGTACTGGGCTCTGATATTTGGGTCTATATGATTAGAGTTCAGAGTTTCTAGTGATTTGTTTATGACAGTGACAAAATTTGGAAATGAGAAATTGTTTTTCTCAGAAACATAAACAGCTTTGTGATTAGCATCTCTGTGGCACTAAGGTGTTAGTCAATTGTCATTTCTAACCCACTTTTCTAAGGTTAATTCAGTTTTAATAAATTTTTTGTTACAAGAAGTAGTTGAGCAGAAATATAATTTGATATGATCTCTGTTATCACTTGTCTGTCTTCTTTTTGTGGACAGAAGTGAGATTCTTTGATTTTGCATTTTAGCCATGCACATTTGAACAGTACTTTCCCAGAATAGAGGTGATTATTCTGTTTGGGGAGCCAGTAAGGTGGGAAACAGCACTACAATTGCTTGTAGACACACTCATGACAGATGGAGTGCCTGCCCATCCTACACCACATTTGGTGTATCCACACATTCCCCTTTTGGCTTGCAACATGGACCTGCAGTGGATGGCAGAGGCAAGGATGCCAAGGTAAATTAATTTATTTCCCCTAATTTATTTCTGCTTTCATTACAGCTCTTTCATTAATGAGAAAGATATGCCTTGCTAGACCAGCATGACACTGCTGTGGAGGCTAGCAGTTATTGTAAAAGTTAGTTAAAATTATTAGCATTTTTTTATTGCTATTGGGGTGGGACTAAGTCCCTTGTACTGCGGCCACTTCTGGCCTATTGTACCAGTCCCAGATGATAGGTGAGGGTGATTGTGGAGCAGTTGGCAGGAGAAAGCAAAGTACTTGGAGAAAACCTGCCCCAGCGCCACTTTGTCCACCACAAATCCCACTTGACCAGACTCGGGATCGAACCCAGGCTGCCACATTGGGAAGCCAGCAACTAACCACTTGAGCTATGGCATGGCCTACCAAAGTATTAGCATAAGTCCAAAAGTATATTTAACAGAATTGTTACAACAGCAATGTGTAACTCCTGAAGGCCGTCATTTTTCAACATATTTCCCCTGCTTTTCAGTACACTTGGTGCAACATATTACCCCTGCTTTTCAGTACACTTGGTGCAACATATTACCCCTACTTTTCAGTAAACTTGGTGCAACATATTACCCCTGCTTTTCAGTACACTTGGTGCAACATATTACCCCTGATTTTCAGTACACTTGGTGCAACATATTACCCCTGCTTTTCAGTACACTTGGTGCAACATATTACCCTTGCTTTTCAGTAAACTTGGTGCAACATATTACCCCTGCTTTTCAGTACACTTGGTGCAACATATTACCCCTGATTTTCAGTACACTTGGTGCAACATATTACCCCTGCTTTTCAGTACACTTGGTGCAACATATTACCCTTGCTTTTCAGTAAACTTGGTGCAACATATTACCCCTGCTTTTCAGTACACTTGGTGCAACATATTACCCCTGATTTTCAGTACACTTGGTGCAACATATTACCCCTGCTTTTCAGTACACTTGGTGCAACATATTACCCTTGCTTTTCAGTAAACTTGGTGCAACATATTACCCCTGCTTTTCAGTACACTTGGTGCAACATATTACCCCTGATTTTCAGTACACTTGGTGCAACATATTACCCCTGCTTTTCAGTACACTTGGTGCAACATATTACCCTTGCTTTTCAGTAAACTTGGTGCAACATATTACCCCTGCTTTTCAGTACACTTGGTGCAACATATTACCCCTGATTTTCAGTACACTTGGTGCAACATATTACCCCTGCTTTTCAGTACACTTGGTGCAACATATTACCCCTGCTTTTCAGTACACTTGGTGCAACATATTACCCCTGCTTTTCAGTAAACTTGGTGCAACATATTACCCTTGCTTTTCAGTAAACTTGGTGCAACATATTACCCCTGCTTTTCAGTACACTTGGTGCAACATATTACCCCTGATTTTCAGTACACTTGGTGCAACATATTTCCCCTGATTTTCAGTACACTTGGTGCAACATATTTCCCCTGCTTTTCAGTGAACATGACTTGGACACAACGTGCATACCTAGTAAAAAATCATATGTGTCTAATGCCACACATAAAATTGTGCACTGTTGCACTAGAAACAGATGATTTTTTACTAGGTATGCACTTCCTGTCCAAGTCATGTTTACTTATAAAACATTAGCCTCTGAAAGTGTTACTGAGGGTTCCAGCAGATGAAAGTTCAGTGAAGCAGGGTAATGCTTAATGGCGTACGTTCTGAGATCTCGGAACATAGCTGCTGAGGGTTCCAGCAGATGAAAGTTCAGTGAAGCAGGGTAATGCTTAATGGCAGTCATTCTGAGATCTCGGAACATAGCTGCTGAGGTGTTTCAGCAGTGTGGGGAGGGGCATTGTTATGCAGCAACACATCTCTTGTGAGTTGTCTACAGTTTTTGCTTCAAATTGCCATCTTCAGCTTGTCACACAGTATTTCAGTGTAACGTGCACTATTTATTATCATGTCCCTTTCCAGATGCTACACAAGGATTGGCCCTGTAAGTCTCAGAACAGTGAGTGTAACTTCCCCGTTGGTTGAGGTTTGAATTTATTTATGACAGAAGGTGTTCTGTGTTTCTGTCCCATTCCCTGATATCTGCTCTCTGGCTTACAGTAATGGATCAGTATTTTACCTCCACCGACATGCAACTGAAAGAGACATTTCTTCCTTGTGATACTGGCCCAGAAGGTTACTACACATGTCCTAACAGTTGCAACTGTTCCATTCTGTGGGTTGTTTTGGAACCCACCTTGCACAAAGTGACTTTTGTGGCAGATGATTTCATAGGCAGAACCATGACTGATCCACACTTGGTTTGTCATTTGGTTGACAGTCACCCTACTGTTGTTCAGAATTGGTGCATGGATTTGCTCAGTGTTTCCTTCATTAGTCAGTATGGATGGGTACTCTAATATCCTTCATCAGTTCAGCCATGCATACATTCTTTTCCTTGGTAAAATCCTCTCCCCATACTCAGCTGATAGTATTCAGTGAATCTCCACACCTCTTAACACCATCAGTCCACAAAACTTGAAATACTGTATGCGTATACTTTTTTTTTGTTGTTGCATATGTCGAGTGGCATGTAGATGCCACCAGTGGTGAAAGACAACTGGATGATGGTCAAATAAGCCGCTGCAACAATAGGGATATTCCATGCTTACAGTTGTGAGCACTTTCAGTAGTGCAGCCAGTCGCAAGAAAACCTAACCTAACATTTCTGACATCCTTGTAAATATCGTTCCACACTTTCTGGATATCTCTCTGTTAATAAGTTCCAGCAATATTTTCTTACTATTTTAACAATTTTATTTAAAGGTTTGGCCATGGTGCTTTCCTGCTCTGCCTTGAAAATTTGTACAAGAAGATAACGGGACACAATTTAATATACACTGCTTTGATTGGGAAGCCGAGTGAGATAACATATCATCATGCACATCATATGGTTGTTAGGCATGCTAAAAATATTGGAATTGAACACTGCATGAAAAGGTTATATGCTATTGGGTGAGTATGTTTTCTTTGCATTTGAGAAGAAGGAAAGATTTGGTTTCAAGTAGCGTGCAGAATAGAGTAACACTACCTTCACATTTATGTACTTTTAAGTATTTTATTAGCCACTTGCCTAGGGAGTTTTATCTGCTTTGGTGTAAGCCACCCTGGTTAGTTTAATATTTAAAGACTTTTCATTACAACTAATATTATATTTGATGTGCTTCACATTTCTGAGATTTTGATCTACAGAAGTGCAAATAAAAACCCTTATATACATGATTGCGCTTCAGACTACTAGGTGGCATTTCACAAAACTCAGCAATCCCAACCTGCCACCCAATCACATACGATGGGTAAGAATTGGATAGATGACAATATTGTATTTTTTTTTTTTAATTGGGTAAAAAACTAGGATACAAAAGTGGCCTAGGCAATGCCCATCCGGCCTTCTGTAGCACATTCTAAATACTTCTCTTTCTGTAGTAGCGGTGAGCCCGCGGTTAATTCACATCTTAGCGTAAATTTGAGAATGTTGTGAGTGGTCCGTGCCATTTCCTCTTGTTCTTTCCTTACGTATCCGTTTTAAATATATATGGGAATGTTGTTTATGAAGTAGCAGACGCCTTGCAGAAATCTCTTTTCTTCTAGCCTCAAGAGCTCTGTGACTGATTTTGGGTAGTGCTTTTTACTGTTCTCAGAGAGGATGCCCATCATTATTGCCCTTTGGTCGTCACACTGTTTGCAATCCCAGAAAATATGTTCCTCCGTTTGCAACCCGTCACCACATTCACATTCGGCCGTGGGCACAATGTTAAATCTGTTTAGACTTCCTTTAAGACTGGTATGTCCTGCTCGCATACGGTTTATTGACACGAAGGCACGGCGGTTCATTTTTATCTGACTAAACCACGGAGTAGAGCCTTTCCTATAGTACCTTTCAAAGTAGCGTTCTCCCCTTTCTTGTTTGGTGTTTTGACAGAAGCTGTGGAGTTCTTCTTTCCCTTTCATTTTCCACTCGGTTTTAAGATCAGCCACGGGTAGTAGTAGTTGACTATCTCTGCCTTCTTTAATTGCTAGCTTTGCCTGCGAGTCGACCCTCTCATTAATTTCGACTCCACAGTGCCCCGGGATCCAGTAGAATTGGATTTTTTTCCCTCGTGATTCGAGTCTCTCTGTTTTATCCTTTAGCATGTGGATGATGTGCGATGCGTTGCTTATTTTAGTGGGGTTACCAATGCTTTGTAACACGCTTGCCGAGTCCGAGAAAATCGTGAAGTTTTGCCCGGATTCTGTTTTTTCGATGATTTCTAGTGTTTCGGCAATTGCTAATGCTTCTGCAGTGAATATGGACGCTATCTTGGATATTCTGAATTTCATTCGACGACCATCGTTTATATCTATCAGTGCCAATCCTACAAAAGGCTTGTCCACCATTTTTGAGCCGTCCGTGGCGAAACTTTTGCTGGTCCTAATTCTTTCTTGGAATATCTTGTAAAATTCCTTGTTATGATCTTCTGTTTCCTTTATTTGTCTTCCCTCATCGAACGATACTCTAGCCTCGTAGAAGAGACTTTCGTACGTGTAGTCGTAGGCCTTGGGACAGTTCCCTGATTGGATTAAATGCCCAAGAGGGGATACCTCTTTGTAACATTTGCTAATGACTGGTAGTTCATTTTCTCCTCTCCCTGGGTTATCGTGTAGAGCTGATAATTCTTCCAGCAGCTGGATCATTGGATGATTGGTTGATGTATAACACCTGGACACGTAGTTCTTTCCCAACTGTTTAAATCTACTAAAGATTGGGACTTCTTTGGCCTCAGCTAGCATTACATTGGTCGGGGTGCTACTCCTGTAACCCAGCGCTCCACGAATAGCCCTATATTGTATCTTCTCAAGCTTCTGAGCTTGTTTCTTCTTAAGTTTATGAAATAAAAATGCTCCATATTCCATCCTCGACCTTATCAGTGCCTTGTAGAGTCTAATTAAAATTACAGGATCCGCTCCCCACCAGGTGTGCTTCACACAGTTCATGATTTTCATCGGGTTTTCGCACTTCCTGACTATTGCGTTTATTTCGTCCTCCCAGTCTAAGTTGGATTTTAGGTGCAGACCTAAAAATTTTATTGATTTGACTGAGGAAACCTTTTCCCCTTGTACCTTAATCTCCCATTCTCCTTCTGTTGTACCTTTTTTATCGAAGATACACAGTTGACATTTTTTTGGTGCTATTTCCAAGCCACTTTCCTTTAGATAGAGTTCAATGCTTTGTATGCTCTTTTCAACTTCTGCCACACCAATTCTGCTACATCTGTGAACTGAATAAATTGCAACATCATCTGCGTATTCCAGGATTTTGCAGTTCTGGTTGATTTTGGATTTCAGTCCAGCCATATAAAGTGAATATAAGGTTGGACTCAGTACGCTACCTTGGGGTAAGCCTTTGTATGTCCAGTCTTTGAGCTCTACCCCCCCGTAGTTTGCCTCTAATTCCCTTGCGGAGACCAGGTTAAATATAAAAGCTATCAGGTTTCCCGAAAAGCCAACGGCTTTGAGTCTATCCATCAAAGTGCCGCAGTGGACGTTGTCATATGCGCTTTTAATGTCTAAGAATACGGCCGATACTGTGTTCCGTTCTTCAAACGCTTTTATTATTTCAGTTGTTAATATAGCTAGGTTGTCTGTGCAACCCTTGTTTCGCCGAAATCCATATTGTGATTCTGAGAACTTCATATTCTTCTCTAGCCACCAAGATATGCGCATGTTTATCATCCTTTCTAGCACCTTGCACACGCATGACGCCAACGATATGGGTCTTACACTAGTCTTATCTGGTTTAGGGATAAAGAATACTCTATATTTTTTCCAATCATCTGGGAACACTCTTGCTCTTAAAATGTCGTTATAAATTTCTAGCAGGATTTCTAAGGCTTCCTTTGGTAAATTGCGTATTATGGCATAATCTATTCCATCCCGACCCAGGCAGGATCGGACTTTGAGGTTTTTAATTGAGTAGAGGAGTTCTTGGATTGTGTATTCTGAGTCGAGGAATGAATCCTGATTTTCGTAATCGAATGCCGGTGCTTGATTGGGTTCATCCACCCCGGAGCATAGCTTTCCAAAGGTCGTTATGGCAGAATTAATTAGTTCTTCTTTGCATTCTCGTTCCCGATCTGTCTTGTTAAATCTGTATTTTAATCTTTTCATTCTATCCCAGATATACGATGGGTTTGTGAATTGATTTAATCCATCGCAGAAGTTTTTCCAGTAATCTTGTTTGATTTCTCTCAATCTATTTTTTGCAATAACCGCTGCCTTTTTGTATTCCATAAATGTCTCTTCGGTTTTGCAGTATTTCCATTTCAGCAGTTTGGCTTTCCTAATTCTGGTAACCTTGTCGCATTCATTGTTCCACCATATACATGCTGGTTGTTTTTCTCTGTTTCCAGTTGTTCCATGTCCTCCGTTTCCGAAGTTATTTTGGCTTTTCCTTTTGGGGGTGGTATCTGCTACCTTTCCTTTAATTATCTGGATTAAATGGTCATACCTTTCCTTTACATCCCTCTCTCTGTTCCATCCATCATGGGTCTTAACTTCCCTGATTTTTTCTATAACTTTATCCATGAAGACATTCCAATCTGTGTGTTTATTGTGCAATCTTGAAGCCTTCTTGCTGCACTCCTTTGGCTCTATTTTGCCGTTATACTCAATGAAAATTGGATAATGGTCGCTATTCCATGGGTCTGTTCCAACCTTCCAGGTGTATACTAGTGCTGATCCTGGGTCCACAAAAGTTAGATCGAGGGCGGCATTGGAACCTGTGGCATCGGAGATATATGTCGGGGAGCCGTCATTAAGCAGCGTGATGTTTGTTTCCAATTCAGTGATGTTGTGATACAGGTTGTTGCCTGTTGTACAATTCTTTGAATTACCCCACGTGTGATGGTGGCCGTTAAAGTCTCCTCCAATCAGGAATTTTCCTTTGAATTGTGTGAAAAATTTTTCCCATGCTCTTGGCTCGATTTTCATGTGTGGCTGCTTGTAACATGACACAATTAAAATTCGATCTTGACCCGTGTGCAGTTCAATTGCACACGCTTCAATTTTGCCGTCTCCATCGTATAAACCGTTCTTACGTGAGTATTTTAGTTTGTTACTTATAAAAATGGCCACTCCGCCGCCGGCTCTGTCGTACCTTTCTTTCCTCACCACATCAAACCCATTTAGGTGTACCCTTTGTGTTTCACCAAGCCAGGTCTCTGATAGCATTATAACATCTAAGTTTCGGCTCCTCTGTTGTAATTCGGGAAGCTTGCTTCTTAGGCTCCTACAATTCCACTGAACTATCTTAATTGGTTGGTACCCTTTGCCTTCCATTGAGATGTTCGTGTAGCTCAATGGCTTTCCACAAGTGTTTGACCATAGCTTTTGAATCCCCCGAGTTTATCACTAGATTGATTATTGTAACCAACACATTTTTGACATCGTCCTCCATCTCTATGGACTCCAACTCGTCTAACGATTTCTCTATCGCATTCTGGCCTTTAGAGCTGTTCCTTTGCTCATTCTTGTTTAAACCAGGGTCAGTAATTTGAGTTCTGCTGTTGTCCGTGTTCATCTTCCATTGTCTTCTCTCCTGATTCCATCCGATCGTTTGGTTCGGGACCTTGTTGTATTCTCTTGATTCAAATATATCCCATTCCTTTCGTCTGCTCGGAGTTTTGAGAACCGGGAAGTTCCTCAAATTTAGTTCAGCATACCCTCGGTGGCTTCCAGCTCCTACTGGGAATGCAGGGCTCGACCACTTTTCTACAATTTTTCGTGCTTCGAAAAATCCAACATTTCTATGTGCCATGATTTGGTTAATTTCTTTCTGTGTTTTAATAACGGGGCACCGCTCGCTGTTTGCTCTGTGGTCCCCGTTGCAATTCATGCATTTTGTAATACAAGTCCCTTCGTGTGTTGCTTCTCCACATGAGAAGCATTGTTTTTCCTTCTTACAAAATTTACTTATG